TACAAGTATATGTCCGAGACAGAGAGGGCAATCGACAAACATGTAGAGCGCTGTTGGATCCAGGCTCGCAATCGCATTTCATTACAGAAGATTTGTTAGCTAGACTGCAGCTTCCATGCAGAACAGAAGAACAGGCCGTCAATGGTATCATGCAAATGGCAACAAATACTCAGCTTGCAACGAAGATATGTATCGAATCGCAACACTCCGGATTTAAGGCTAATCTGGATTGCCTGGTGCTTCCAAGGATAACAGAACGACTTCCGCAATTCAAACTGGACAGGATGCTCCTCAATATCTCAAGGGATCAACGACTTGCAGATCCGAATTTCGACAAACCAGGCACAATAGATCTTCTAATAGGTGCAGGTCTGTTTTGGAACCTATTATGCGTTGGACAGATCAAGCATAGAACTTATAAACATGGAAGGGGAAACGGATCGGCACAAGTGAAGCCAAGAAGTGAGACAGAAGAAACTAGAATTCTGTCTCGTTCTATGACTTTTCCTCGAAATACGCATGCGCGGCCAAAACGAGATTACAATAACGCATGCGCGGCCAAAACGAGATTACAATAACGCATGCGCAAAACGATTTAACGCATGCGCATAACGGACCAAAGTCATCTTCTATCTATCCTTGTCACACAGATGTTGGACTCAGTTTCAGCTTACGGAGAGTATATGCTATTCCCCTTCCATGTTTATAAGTTCTATGCAGATCAAGATGTCGAGGGGAAGTCCAATCTGGCAAAAAACGCAGCTCGGCTGGATAATTGGAGGCGAGCTCATTGACGCTAAACCAAGGGTAACTTCCACATCACTCTTGATTGTCAACAAATCATTAAACGAACAGGTTGAAAGATTCTGGACTCAGGAGGAGGTACCGGAGCTTCGACAACTAACCACACAAGAAAGATATTGCGAGGAACAATTCATATCGACACTTTCCAGAGATCCCACTGGAAGATTTGTAGTAAGCCTACCCAAAAATGAGGCAGTCACAATTGGTAGCTCAAGAGAAGTTGCCTTGCAACGATTTAAGGCTTTGGAGCGCAGATTTAAACGGCAACCTAACCGCAAGGAAGATTATGTGAGATTCATGGAAGAATACGAGAGACAAGGGCACATGGAGCCAGTGGATGGAGATACTCTAAGCGAAAACGGGTTGACATGCTTTCTTCCACACCATTCAGTTTTGAGGCCAGATCATCTCACAACAAAGGTGAGAGTGGTGTTCGACGCATCAGCCAAGACGAGCAGCGGTCGGTCGTTAAATGATATGCTCTTGGCAAGACCGAATTTACAAAATGACTTGATGCACATATTGCTAAGATTTCGATTGCATAAATACGTAATAACTGCGGACATAGCCATGATGTTTCGGCAGATTTTGGTGAACGAGGAGGATAGAAGACTACAGCTGATAATTTGGAGAAAATCTGAAGATCTTCCCATAGGTACATATGCTCTGAAGACAGTTACATACGGCACGAACTGCGCACCATATTTAGCAATGCGCTGCCTCAGACAGTTGGCATCGGAAAACAAGGATCAGCATCCACAAACTGCACGCGTTTTGGAAT